TTTCAGTTCTTCCAAAGAATAGAAAATGAATGTCCCAACATTAAAAACTCAAAGTAATATGTATAAATGGACTGAAGAAAAGTCTCATGATAATTTCAGCTGATGCAGAAAAGGCATTTGTAGAATTCAAAATAATTTATGGATTAAAACTCAATGAGGAAGTCTGGAACAGAAGGGGACTTCATCAACTTGATGAAGAGCATTTACGAAAACCTACAGTTAGCAACATGATCTAAATGTAAGCCGTCCCTGAGAAAATACTGCAAGACTTTATGCCGTGATCAAGAAAAAGAATTTTCTGTTTCAAACCTGCTTGTCAGCATGGTAGTGGAGGTCTTATCAATAGCAACATAACAAGAAAAACAGAAATATGGTATCCAAGGTAAAAATGAAGAAGTAAAATTATTTCCATTTACAAAGGATAGCATCAGATGTATAGAAAAACTTCCAAGCATCTGAATGAAAGCTACTAGAACTAAAACATTCAGCAAAATTGCAACATAAGGCTCACCACACAATGCACAAAAATCAATTCTATATTCTGTAGAATTCTATGAAAATATTTGAATAGGAGAGTAAGAAAAAAGCAAAGGAGTGTGTAACTCACTTAGTTGGTAACATGCTGGTCTTGCTAGTATGAGGACTTGAATTCTGGTTCTCAGAAGCAGCGTAAAGTCATGTACATTTGTATGCATAGTGGAAATCCCAGGTATACATGATCATGGAATTTCAGCAATTCTGAGATGGGAGACAGAGATGGGTGAACTCCTAGTAGCTTTTTGGCCAGTTAGTCTAACCTTATCTGGTAAAGCTACAGGCCAAGGAAAGAACCCAAATCCAATAAGAAGAGAAAATTGTGTAAGGAATGACACCCAAGGCTACTCTGACCTATACACTTGTAAGCTTTCACCTGTACACACACTTACAGCCTACCCACAAAAGTTCATTTTCAATAACTTCTTATGTATATGTTAAATCAAGATGGATGTTTGTACACTGGAAAATATAAAATATTAATGATATAAATTAATGAATGCATAAATAAATGGAATGGTATCTCATGTACATGCTCAGGCAAATTTAATATTTCAACAGAGTCTATTTATGGAGTAAATGCAGATTGCTGAATTTCATAGGAAAAAGAGAAAAGAGTAAAGGAGAAGTGCAAGTGAGATGAAAAGGAGGGAGTTAAGAAGACAATGAGGACTGGCAAGGTGGCTCAGCTGTTAAAAGTCTAGGCTCACAACCACAACTATAAGAAGAGATTCTGGGATTCCCCTCTGTATGCTGTGAATAGCATTGGCTAATAAAGAAACGGTCTTGGGCCTGCACAGGGAATAAAGGTAGGCAGGGAAAACTAAAGTAAATGCTGGGAGAAGGAAGGAGTGAGGGAGAAGCCATGGAGCCCTGCCAGACACAGATGCCGAATTTTACCTGGTAAGCCACAGCCTCATGGCTTACACAGATTACTAGAAATGGGTTAAATTAAAATATAAGAGTTAGCCAATAAGAAGCTAGAGCTAATGGGCCAAGCAGTGATTTAATTAATGTAGTTTCTATGTGATTATTTTGGGGCTAAACTAGGTGGGAACCAACAAGCGGCCTTCTTGCAACAGATGATGGGGACAAGAAAGGGAGGTATCTGGGGAGGAGAGTGATTACAAGGTTTAAATAGTTATAGTGAATTTTCTGTCTCATTCTTATCCAATTCACTGTGGAATGTCATCATCTTGCTGATGAATCAGTTATAGAGGTTAATGTTTTCTTTCTCCGTGTTATAGAGCACTGTCATTTTATTGGTGATCACATCTAAGAGCATGTTTTTGACAATTAAAATGTCTAATTATAACAGAAATGATGAAATAAATTTATAATAAGGGAGAACATATAGCTATACTATATAATTGGAGTAATTCATCAATGCCCATCTCACATCCAGTAGTTGTTCAATTCATGAGGCTGGATGCTTCAACAGTCTCTTTGGCATTGATGGCCTGGAGGATTTCTATAGTGAGGAGTGGCGGTCTGTGTTCCCACCCAGCCCCTGCACGGCTAGCTTTATACCCAAAATAACAACACACAAATTGTATTCTTTTAAACACTGCTTGGCCCATTAGCTCTAGCCTCTTATTGGCTAATTCTCACATCTTGATTAACCCATTTCTAATAATGTGTGTATCACCATGAGGTGGTAGCTTATGGGAGAGGATCTTAACCTGCGTCCATCTTGGAGAGGAGAGCTATAGTGTCTGCCTCACTGCCTTCTTCCTCCTAACATTCTGTTCTGTCTACTCCACCTATCTAAGCTGCTGTCCTATCAAAAGCCAAGGCAGTTTCTTTATTAACCAATGAAAGTAACACATAGACAGATGACCCTTCTCCATCAGATTTCTAAAGAGCCTCTGGTATGCAGTCCACCTTGGAAGCCTGCAGAAGCTTCTCATCATATCAGTGAAGGAACCAGGAGAAGCAGCAATAGCATAGATAATTAGTAAATAAGAATGAAGGTCAAGTGAGCAGAAAGTATCCTCTTCAGGGCTGCGACAAGAAGGTATTGCCCACATGTAGGGTTGGTCTTACCACATCAATTAAAGTAGTCAAAAAAATCCATCACAGACATGCTCACAGGTCCACCTGATGGAGACAGGCTTTCACTGTGCCCCTCTTTGCAGGTGATTCTAGGTTGAGTCAACATAGAATTGTGTCAACCTAGGTTGACTGTTAATGCTCACCATCACAGGAAACTACTTTTATGGCTCAGCTTTTCTCATCTGTAAAGTGCAAGGCAGAGCATTACCTCCCCACTGAGGGATGACATACAAAGCTCACCGACACACAGAGAGATTTCATTGTGTCAGGTCTTACCACATGTCTATGTTAATCCCTTACCTTTACAATAGCTCACTGTCCCCAGGTTTTTCTTTCCACGTTTTTTTTTTCTTTCCAAGTTTTTATGTGTAAATATGAATGTAACCTCAAACAAAATGCCCGGGACTGAAAATGTCAGATACTAAGGAGCAAGAAAATCTCTTATGGGGATTAAGGCAAACAATGTGTTTGTACATGTTTATGTATGTAGCTACACATGCATGCATTTGTATGTATCTTAAGGACAAAGGACAACCTCGGTGTTGTTCTTCACGTCCACTATTGTTGAGACAGGGTGTCTCAGTGACATGCAACTCCCAAAGTAGGTTAGTGCTGTTTGGTCAGGGATTCCCAAGGTTTTTCTTGTCTTCAATTCCTTCATGCCAGGGTTACAAGCATGAGCCAATGCACCTGGCTTTTGAAAAATGCACTTTCTGGGGTTTGAACTGGAGTCCTTAGACACACAGGAAAGTACTTTACCTATTAAGCTATGTTGCCAGGCTTCCAAACTTGACGATGTTAATGCGCTTAGAATTTGATAGCTTAAAAATTATTTTAGGTTGCAAAAACACATCCACACTGTCAGTTAGTAGGAAGAAAACAAATAATCGTATGGTTCAACTTTCTGAAGGTTTCCAAGACACTGGGGGAGACCAGACAAAAATGTAATTTATTACACTTTCATAACCAAGGTTTGAAATTGCAAGTTACTGTTTAAAATGTTATAATAGTGTAAACTGAGTTTGAAGCACATTTTTTAATGGCTTTACACCTTTTATGCTCCTGTTCTCTCGTTTGCTTTCTATTTTGCTTCATAAAACTTCATAAAAATGTACTTAATAAGCTGATCTAAACGTAAGTATTTCTTTGTGGTGAGAGGAGAAAAAATATGGTGAGAGGGGGGAAAAAGCAAACACATACAAATTCTCATGTCATGCCCCTGGTTGTCTAATTTATTTCTTACTAGCAGAAAATAGATTTGTGATAGAATTGTATGGCTAAGAAAAAGAAAGACTAATTTTCTTCTACGAGCTTTTTAGGAAGGCTTCATGCCAAACTCCTCTTCATTCAGAGCTTACAGGTTGGTTAGGTACAGAGCCAACTAGGGTGTCGCTTGGACTCAACTCATAAAAATTTGTCAAGTAAAGAGGGATGAATTTCTGCAGAAAAAAAAGCAGTGTGTGGATAGATATTTTGCAACAGGATGTTTCTATCTCATTAAGTATTTGGGGAAATGGCCACAGAGGCAATAAACATATTTCCCAGAAAAACATAAAGCAAGGAACCATCAGACAGTGACTTACCTATTGACAAAAGGCAAGAAGAAAAGAAGGCTAGTGGGAGTCTAGTCTCACCCCTCTGGAGATAAGGGAAGACAATGTGGCAGTCATCGCTTAACACAAGATCTACTCTGGCCAGAGAACAGATATTCAATGACATTTTTGCATGTGTTTATGTCTTAATATAAGTTCATTTAGTTTGTTTTGTATTTCTGTACACTTTTTTCATATCAGAGGGTATATAGAAGAAAGGGGGTAAATTCAGAGGCATTATAAGAATGAAAGTAACACATTGATTAAGACATGATCCAGTTCCACCTGGACCCCTAAATTCAGCCCTGTGTTGATGCAGGTTATTTCATTACCATTGGCAATATCTAAAACATTGATTATCTTAAGATTGAAGAAAAGTAGTCAACCAAATGATTATTGTCACATAAAGTTATGCTGATAAATTCAACTAAATAATTTTAACTTATATTCTCCAAATTCAAAACTCTTTGGAGGTAAGTTGTCATCGCTTAATTGTCATTATTGAAAGTACTATTGGGAAGTTATTATGCACTTCTGAGTCATTTTTTTCTTTACAGTCTCATCATCATTTTCATTTTATTTACATCTTTAACCACAGATGTTGATGGAGCTGTAATATTGCTTCAATGTCTATTGCAATATTTTTATTGCATTCTGCAGGTCCTCCAGTAAACGTTACTTGCAATATTTTTATCAACAGTTTTGGATCAGTCACAGAAACCACCATGGTAAGTGCAACAGTGCCACTGGCAAGAGAAAAACGTGACTCAATTATGCTATGAACACAACCTGTCAAATTTTCTATTGTTCAACTTACAGGGCCTCCTGTAAATGTTACCTGCAACATATTTATCAACAGCTTTGGGTCAATAGCAGAAACTACAATGGTGAGTGGGACTGAGCATTGAAGCCATCGTGTGAAGGACTGAGATATGGGATCACAGCACTGTTGCATATTTATGTGACATTTACTGAGTGCCAATCTCTAACATCACCAACCTCTAAAAACAGACATTTATAACCTTCATTTCAGAAAGCCGTTTGTCAAGGTGCTACAACATAAAACTCAATGATGTTTTACCCATTACCCCAGAGTAATTTTGTAAACACATAATTTTTGTTGAGTTGGTCTAATGAGTAGCAATAAACATAATGTGTATTTAACAGTACTAAAATATGTACATTCCCTAAGTTTCATGAGTATGAATTTTAAAGTTTGACACAAGCTTGGTATTTCCAGTCTTATACTTTTTCTGAAAGCTGGGATATCATCAAGCCTGTCTGTTGCACATTTATGACATCACAAAAGGGAACAATTCATAAGAGCATGCATATACATTCCCATGTTCACATATGCACACATAATTTTGTTAGCAGTAGAAAGTAGTATTACGATCACAGCAATTATAAAAAATGAGCACCTTTGAAAAAATAAGCACATTAAAATACTCATGAAAAATATGTGATACAAACATAATTCTCACATTAGAAATTGTTTCAGGTACTATATACTGTGCTATAATGGCTTGTTGCCAGTGACTCATACCACTGGATCATTAACTAAACCCCACATAGCGCTAGGTTAGAGTCTGGAGATTACATATGGGGTAAGGAATTTCCTTGGTATCCACATGGTTTATTTAAAGCTCTTAGTCAGTTGCTTGCTTTTAATTTACATGGTTATTAAATCAGATAGGCATTTTATTGAATGAGACCAAAGTGAAATTGTAGTTGAATTTGATCACATACTATAATACTTGAATCCTACAAAACTCAAGAGGTAAAAAAATGAACATATGACAGCATTGAGAAGTAAAAACAAATGTAGGTTTTCTCTTTTAGGCTCCTAAGATCATTTTTAATGAACTACTGCACTCTGAGGTGTTTTTGATACTAGCAAGAAACAATTTACCTTTACTAGTCACTTTTATTGGCAAAACGTTAACTATAATGTGTATCCAGTACCCATTTAACCATTACTCCAAAACAGCATTCCAGATATAAGATTCTAGCAAGATATGTAGTGCATTAAGAATTTTACCTAAATAACATAGTTTTGATACAGCTATAGATGACTCATAAGAAACACTAAGCATGGAAATAGCAACCCAACTCTGGACTTGACACTCAGTTTCTGTCTCTTCTATTGCTTTTATCTTTAAAAGAGGGACAACGTTTCCAGTAGCCCACTGTCACCAGCTTTACACGATGGCATTCAATGACCATATTTGCACGACCTAATGCTGATTGCATTAATTAGATTCCTAAGTTGCCTTGATTAAATCTCCCCATTGCATTTTACTCTCAATCAAAAATGTAAATTTGCACCTTTTCAGTGTTCATTAATACAAGAAGCTAAACATTTAAAGGGATGAAAATGGAAGCTATGGATACCCAATTTTCCTTGGTCTTTAAAACTTACAGGGTTGTTTAGTAAATTGGCTGCTTAGGTGCTTCTTGCCCACTTAGTAAGTGTCCTTTGTCATGTTTCCTATGAAAAGAGGAAACTGGTGCTCAAAGGTAATGTCAACAGCCTGCTAGCTGTTGTGTAAGGTAGATCAAATTGCATGTTAGAAGAGTGTTGCATAGTGTGCTTCTTTTATTTCACTTGTTAGATTTTGATGTCATGATAGGCTCCTTTTGGTGTTGAAAATACATATATATTGTTTTTTCATGGCTTTGATGTGAAACTAAAACAAGTTCTTACATAATGTTTATCCTGTTTATGTCCAAGAAGAAATTATCATGTTACCTAGGGTAAGAATTGACAAATTCTTCCTGCAAAGAGACAGATAGCAAACACCTAAGACCATGGGAGCCAGGTGACCTCTCTGATGCCTTCTCAACTCTGCCCTTTGGTGGAGGACAGATACTACTACTACTAGTGCCCAAATGGATGTGATCACATCCAATCAAACTTTACTTGCAAAAGCAGACTGGGTCAAATTAGTATTTAAATTGATATTTCATTTTTATAATAATAGTGTGACAATTGCTCTATTGTAAAAGAGAGTTCTGGCTTCCAAGATGCCCGAAGCTTTGCCTGGGTGTCTACCTGATGCAACCTGTCTTAATTGGGTCAGGCTGCAAAGGAGCACAAACTGGCCGGCTTACAAACTGTAGAAATTCTTTCTCTCGTATTGGAGGCTGGAAGGCGAAGAGTAAGGCCAGCGCACTCAAGTATTGATCAGGGTAAAGACACAGACGGCTGACTTGTATCTTCTCATTCTAGAAAGTTCTCTTAATATCTTAAGTGCATTGTCTCTCAATAATATCAGGTTGGAGGTTAGAATCTTAAAAGCAAGTTTTGAGAGGTTATAAATATTTAGCCCATACATACTTGCACACATTTCCTTTATCAAAACTTGAAGATTCTACAATCTGATACTTACTCAAAATTTGACTCACAAAATATGGTTGACCATGAAATGGAGCACCAACTAAAATTATAGCTGGAGTCAAAAAATTAGCTTCAATGCATATTAATAAAGTAGTAGAGGCCATGAATTAGCATTGTTTTCTTGGGATAATAGTTTTGCTTTCTCTGCAATTTTTTCCAAGAATGCTTCTAAACTGAGTTTCTGAATATGTTTATTATATTCTCTTGCTTTCCATATCGTTCTCTTACAGTGACTGAAGTAACATTATTGAAAGATTTAGTTTTGGTTGATCGTTTCTAAAGAAGGGGTAATAATTATCTGTTTTAAGAACTCAAATATCTTTTGATACTATACAATTTGACCCCCCATGGTTACTGAAATCACACTAATTTATTGTTAATGCTGCCTGTTAACAAAGTAATGACTTACAGATTCAATACAAATGTTCCCTTCTTTGATACAAGTATTGGAGATATGTGTTCACAGGACACCATAATGTTGTTTCTTTAAGGAACAGTTTTATGGGTCATCACTATGATATAAGTTATTAAATTCAATATTATACATACTTGTTCACCAAGAATTTATTGGTATTTGACCCTTGTAGTGTGATTACTCAGAAGATATAATTTTGTATTGTTTTGAATATTTAAGAGGCTTGGAAGGGATATATACTGAGACAGGTTATATTATAGTTTTGAAATGTTAGTTTATCCTTCCTCCTTTCTTTCTCCTTTTCTTTCATTGCTGATAACAATCGAATTTACAGGATAAGGAATATAGTTACCATCCCCTCTTTATTAATTTTGAGGCACAAATTGAAAATATTGGCAACATAAGTAACAGTCAAGGGTATTTCATACCAGCGGTGTGCCACTCTCCCAAAGACTAGAACATCAGAAAATGGGGGTGAGAAGCTTTATTCCCAGTTTTAAGTGGCTGTCTGGAGAGAAGGTAGTGGATTCTGTGCGATCTGGGCCTTATGGATGCTATTATACTACTCATGCCTCAGCAGTAGTTTTTAAGCCTCCGCACATTTAACAGATATGAGGGATAGCTAAATGTATAGAAATGTATTTGCCAGTTACTGCTGCACTTCATGGAGTTACTTTGCCTCTGATCTGAAATTGCACTTCTCAGGAACTTAGAGAAGAAGGTAGCCCGAAGCTGACATGATTACTTATTGTGTTGTAACCATTGAAAGAGCATAGAAGTTTCCTTTCATTGAATAGTTGAATGAGTGTATCACAAGAAGATGCTAACTGACAAGAGACAGTGTATTATTATGTCAATGATTTCTGACATCTTAAAGAATAATCAATACATTTCCATAAATCTTATATTCTGTTAAGCTGATGCAGAAGATGAACTTGCTCCCTAAGTTATTAGTGAAATATTAAAACCCACATTAATCATAAATCAACTGCCTACAATCATAATTTAAAATATAAATTCTCCCATTAAAACTAAAACAGTTTTGATATTATGGAAAATGTTTTCAGAGTGTTGACAGGTTTAAAAACCAAAGTATGACATAAAAATTATGGATAAATAAATATACCTTCAATATATTTATAATTATATTAAAAACATGCAAATACCAAGCAATAAGACATAATGATAATGTTTGATATGAGTATTTATGAGATAAAGTGATAATCTTTATGTACAAATGCAGAGCTATGTGCAAAATAATTCAGCTTACGGCAGCAATGTTTATGAAGTAGGCATAGCTTTAGAAGGTGTCAGAAAAGAAACTTGAAAAATACTAAATTTGACATAAAGGATTATTATGGAATGTAGGTACTCATATTACAGGATTAAGGCTATAATAAAGATTATAATAAAATGCAGTTTATACATGGATTTGTTTTAGAGTAAAATATATGCACATATAATATAAATGTTTCTATTACCTTAGCCAATGCTTAGAAAGTCAATAATATAGAAACAAATTATAGCACAAAGAAATATGCCATTTATTTGGAGTAGAATCTATCCTTAGAGAGTACAGGCAATGTAAAAGAGAATATAGTCTTCATTTAAACATGTTTCTCAGTATTTACTTTCCCTTTAATATTTTATTGAGCCTGGAAGCAGCAGAAAGTCAAAGAAAGACTACAAAATCACATAACTACTCTCTTATGATTTGTGTTATTATTAGATCATAAATTTATTTGCAAGAAAAACAGAAATAATACATTGGTAATTTACATGTTCCTACTGTTTATTATATATTGAAAACTATAAAGAACTAAAAGAATTACACAGGCATGGCTGCAAAATATTTTCTTTGACTGTCTACTTTCTCTATATTTTGGGAGTTCCCTGTCTGTTCTTAAATACTTTTAAAAGTTATTATATATTTTAAAATGGTATATCTCATAACAAACCTAATCATGGATAAATATTAATAACTACACATTCAAGGTAATGGCTACTCATAAACCAAAACTCTGGTATATAATTGTTGGATATAAATATATTTCCCTTCTACTTAGCATTATTTATAAATAGTGTAAATAATTAATTTTAAATGATCCTTATACATTTAATAATTGAAGTGAGATATAATTGTCTCATTCTTTTAAAAATTCTTACATTACAAAGAAGTTTATTTCACAATTTTCTTGCTATAAAATTCAAAATAGAAAACCAGGAAACACTGGAGAACACCCATGGGAATTTTCTATGAAAATCTATGTCGAGATATTTTTCTTAAATGTCATCACTTTTATATACTGTGTCACTAATTTAATATTCTCTAGGGTAGGCCAATAGGCAAGTTTAACTCATTCTCAGGGGGCACAGGAGGATCACAAGGGAGTTCTGTTTGTGGGGGGCACAGGAGGATCACAAGGGAGTTCTGTTTGTGATTTTGTTGTCCATTGATTTCTAGCTAGGTTCAAATGGCCTTTTGCACCCCAAAATATGTTATGGTGAAGAGACTGCTGTTCTCCCAATAGTCGGATATTTACCCCTTTCACTTTTGTTATGTTCAGCTGCTTCCACTTCCTGGACTTAGAGGATCTCTAGATAAGGCTAGAGGAGGAGAGCCTCTTCTTTACTATTTCCAGCTGAAACAAGGATGGACCTCTCCTTACCCTCAAGAATTCTGTTAATAATGTATGCTCACTCTAGGAACCTAGAAGGAAATGGGCACCATAAACTGGAGAGGCCTCATTTCCTTGCTTGAGAAATCCTTTTTTTTTTTTTTGTTTTTGTTTTTGTTTTGTTTTGTTTTGTTTTGTTTTGTTTTTTTTTCGAGACAGGGTTTCTCTGTAGCTTTGGTGCCGATCCTGGAACTAGCTCTTGTAGACCAGGCTGGCCTCGAACTCCCAGAGATCCGCCTGCCTCTGCCTCCTGAGTGCTGGGATTAAAGGCCACCACCACCCGGCTTGAGAAATCTTTTTTAAAAAATTAATTATCTTTCTTCATTTTACATAACAATCCCTGTTCCCACTGCCTCCCCTCCTCCTGCTCCCTCCACTCACCCCCTATCTATTCCTCAGAGAGGGTAAGGCTTCCCATGGGGTGTCAACAAAGTCTAACACATCACTTTGAGGCAGGACCAAGGCCATTACCCCTATATTTCGGCTGAGCAAGGTATCCCACGAAAAAGAATGAGCTCCAAAAAAGCCAGTTCAAGCACTAAGGATAAGTCCTAGTCCCACTGCCAGTGGCCCCACAAACTGCCCCAGTAACCCAACCCTCCTCCACATTCAATGGGCCTAGATTGGTACTGTGCAGGTTCCCCAGCTATCAGTCTAGAGTCAGTGAGCTCCCACTAGCTCAGGACAACTGTGGGTATCCCCATCGTGGTCTTGACCCCTTTGCTCATATTACTGCTCCTCCCTCTTTTGACTGGTCTCCAGAAGGTCAGCCCAGTGGAAATCTTAAGGGCCATATAAACCAACATGTATATGAGCACTGGGTTGTTTCATTTTTAATTTTATCTTCTTTAATTTTCATAAATCAGACTTTCTTACTCATTATTCACAAAAATCTAATGATTCAGTAACACACATGCACAAAGAGACACCGATCTGCTAATAATCTCTTTCTGACTGAAATCCCTTGATTTCTTTGAACAACTCTGAGAATATTGAGATCCTGTCATTCTCTTCATAACTCACCAGGACAGCCAGTTGGGGTAGATGTTGAGGTAAGCCCACAAACCACATCCACTCTGATTTGAGAATTCGCCATGCAAAAAATCTAAACAAATGCTGCCTGCTAAGCTTTTTCAAATTACAATGTTCATATTATACAATAGAAAACCTGAGGTAATTAGTTTTAATAATGCAGGCTTTCTAAAAGATCAAGGGTTTTATCACTGATTTACAATAATTTGGAACTATTTGATTATCAGCTTTTCCCAGCCTACTTTAGGCATCTTTCCCAAGAACAATGGCATTCGAAATATTCTATGAGGTTGGTCACAAGTAATGTTTGTGCCCTTAAGAAGTGCCATAGAAACTTTAATAGTTTAGTACAAAATTATCTCTAAAACTTTCTTTTTCTTTTGACTATGAGGGAATTAATCAAAATATGCCATCCCTTAGTGGTTTCCATGGTACCTGGCAAAGTGAACAATCACATTTGTTTGCTTAGGAATATGGGTATTGTGAGACTTTAGGAACCTAAATTAGAAAGTTTTCAAGTAGACCAAGACAACTTAATCACCATTTAAGAAAAATAAAGACCTCAATGTGCAACTAGATGCCAAAGATGTGAAGATGACGTCAACAGAGCTTAAGCAAAAGGTGAGGAAAGAAAAAAAAAAAAACAAATGGAGATGTCCATCACCTTTAATAGCCACACGTGACAAGAAGCTCTGAAGCTCTGATTTCAGTCCTGAAGAACTGGGACTGTTGACTATGTCTCAGTCAGAGTCTAGACCATGAAGTTAGCCAAAGCTTCCATGAACCTAAAAGTCTTTGAATCCAAGCCTTCCGGAGAATAGTCATAGTAACAGGCTGATTCATTAGCACAGAAGGAAATACCCAGATCACTTGAGAATGGTGGGGCTGTACCAGAGGCTCCCACTAGGGAGAAAACCTTTGTCAGATAGTATTCATATTAGAAACAACATGAAAATTGTCTGTTTGACTGAAGCATCAAGCTGCCTAATGCAAACATAACACATGGAGAGAATTCAATAAAATATTCAAGAGTTTTGAAAGTAAGTAGTTGCGAAGGAATCATTTTGTCAACAGGAAGCATCTTAATGTTGTTAAAATTTTAAGAATATTGGCCTGTCCTAACATGGCTATATAAGATTTTCCCTCCCAAGTTGCAGAGTGGGTTTTCTTCAATACCGAGCATCTAAGCAAAAAGAGATTAGAAATCATGTCATTTCTGCTTCAGAAAATGAATTGGGTTTATTTGATAATCTGCCATGACAGTCTGACTTCTGTACTCATTATTGTCTTTTTCTACAGAAAGACCATCTTAAATTAATATTATTTCAACCCAAAATTAATAATTGAAGCATAAAAAGTCAGCCTGTTTAATTGGTGTTCTGTTCTTTCTTCTTCCTGTCCACCTCAAATTCTAGTAGGACTGAATGCTTTATTTTGACCAAGGTGTACCACGACTTGTTTGACCAGACAAAATCACTGTATCAAATCAGAAAGAAAGTGAAAAGTAAAGTAAATATATTTCTTAAGCCAGATTGGACAATAAGCAGCCCTTGTATATGACATTTCTATAGGACTATCGAGTGAACATTTTTCTGAGACAACAGTGGAATGATTCACGGCTGGCATACAGTGAATACCCGGATGACTCCCTGGATTTGGATCCATCTATGTTGGATTCCATTTGGAAACCAGATTTGTTCTTTGCCAATGAGAAAGGTGCCAATTTTCATGATGTCACCACTGACAACAAGTTACTGCGGATTTCCAAAAATGGCAAAGTGCTCTACAGTATCAGGTAAGCCTTTGCTGCTTAGAGCTCTTCAGTTCTTTTGAGCTTAGAGATACCTGATTTTTCAGGACAGGGTGTGGATGAATGTATGACTTTGTGGTCTTTTGTTTATTATTTGAAATTTAAAGTAGGTGGAACATTTCAGAAGTTTTCATGATTATATAAGCGTAATTCTTAACAACAAAATGTACCTGGTAGGTTTATGGTCAGTTGATTGTGGTTGTATAAAAATCTAAGCATATATATTTAATAAAGAAATTATAGAATGTTCAGTTTAATTACCTTGGACCATAATATATGAATTCCAGTTTCAATAGTTCTCTCATTAACCAGAGACAAAATCTTCAATGGATCAATAGCACACTCTGGGTTGAATACATATGGACTTTATCTTAACCCCATTTGTGCTTCTCAGTAAATGTATGACCTTCGGCACTTGATCTATTAATTTTTATTGGATTTTAACTTGGGACAGAAATTTTCTTAGAATCTTTTTGTTCTGTAATAGGATCCCTGACCCAGGTTGGTCTTCAACTCCATGTAGCAGAACATGACCTTGAACTTCTGAGCCTCCCAACTCTAATTCCTGGGTGCTGAGGTTACAGGCATGAGCTACCAATCTCAGTGTGTGGGGGACTGGAGATTGAAGCCAAACCTCATCCATGCAAAGCAAACACTCTACCAAGGGAACTACATTGCTAGGCCCTCATTTCGAAATATTACATTCAAATATGTCCTCCAGCATCTTTATCTCTCCAGACTCAGACAATTTTTCCTGTTATTCTTAATACTAATAATCATTTTTTTTCCTGTGGCTCTGTAAGGTTCTTATTTGTTATGCCTTGTATTTTAGTTACTACAATACATGAGTGACACGTAAGAATATGAATTTTTTGAATCATAGGATTTGTTGGAATCATATAGATTTAGAGTCAAACTAGTTTTGGCACTTACCAAGTTCCAGGATCTACAAAATTCATGGATCAGCATATCGATCTGTGGATAGCTTCTTGTGAAAATTAAGTATGTAGACATCAGAAAATATTTTAAAGGTCCAGATTGCTATCATTTAAACTATGCAGACTAAATGACAACTACGTGTGTGATTTAGTTCAAAATCAACTATAGAAAAAAGGCAAACAATATTTCGATAATGCAGGGAAATACTGGTACACTAAAGCCCTTTCTGTGGCTATGGCTGGTCACGCCTTCTCAGAGACAATGTAAAACTATTTGCCATGGAGTTTGTGCTTGATAAATAAAGCCTGAATCTTAAAAAGAATGCTCTGTTTCAATAATAAGCTATCTTCAGTCATCTTTTAGCTCTTCTGAAAGACTGGGACAGTGTAGTCTACAAGAATGACAATACACTGAATAACTATTGACATTTCAATTGTCTTTATAAAGGACCCCATTACTCTCTTATTTTATTACCATCCCCCAAAAGTGAGTAATTAGTATTTCTGTAAATACTTCTCACAAGTTTGCAGACTCACCATCCTTTAAGAACCCATTATGTATTTTGGTTTTTTACTGAATATTCCATTTGTATGCCTAATAAGTTCAGAGCTTGCTTTTGGTTGACTGTCTAGTGTCTTAAGGCATATAGGAGGCTGCTCATTTGGGAAATGCAGCAGTACTGCTGCTTTCAGAAAGAAGCAGATAAATTCCCTAGATACCCATTGCATTGTTAAGGAAACAGTATTCTGCATGATAATCCATTTGTCTGGTGTAAGATGCACTGTTGGGCATGACCTAAGTTGATGTGACCTGATAGAAAGGGACATATGTAGAACATGATGCTGGAAAGGAGAGTTATAAAAAGTAACACAGTGTATCAGCTGCTTCGGCTAGTCCTTTGGGCCTTGGGTGGTGTTTGTGCTGGTAAATACCTAGCATTGTTCACTGCTGAAAAAAGTTAGGTTTTTGTCATTTCTTTTTGTACTGTTAAGATTTCACTGTTCTATATCAATGAAGGATATATGTTACCCCAACATAGATACAAAGGCAAATGTTTTATTACTGGTTCTGAAATGTGACACATTATTCATTGCTTAGAATCTGAGGAGTTTGTCCATTGGCAGGTCGTGGATGGTCTCTGAAATCTGAGGGGAAAAATCATTAGCAAAGAAGAACTACAGATGCCACATTCAAGAAACACAAGCTATTGGCAAATTTGAACTACAGAAGTCTAATTATTTTCCTAAAAAGGTTTTCAATGAACCAGACAATATCTTGGGCATAAACTATACAGAGCTGAGTAAGATGGGGTCCTTTCCCTAAAATGCTTCATTATTATTGAAGCATGAGAACTAATAATCAATTAAGAAATAATAAGTAGTAGCAAGGAAAAGGAAAGTAGACATAAACTTACAAATAGTGTTCTTAAAATGTTGATAGAATTTGGGGGTCGGTGGCTATAGACAGAGACTGCTTGCTTGTTTCCCGGGAGCCAAATCTAGATAATCATACAAAAACTATACTAATTCAAGTTGGAAGTGAAGCAGGCTATAGTTGTGGATTTCTAACAGGTCCTTAAAAATAAAACACAAGGTAGAAGAGGAGAGGGAAGGGCAGGAGATTATCAGAAAAGCAAAGTAACCAAACCACTAGTGAGCTCTTTCCTCTAAGAAATCCTCAGACTGAAAGAGGACAAGTTCCTGTCTCATCTTGGTATATATTCGTCTCTAGGGCTGGAATTAAAGGCATGCACCACTACTGCCTGGCTTCTATGGCAAATTAGTGTGGCTACTGAGATCAAACGTGTCTGCCACCATGGACTGGTCTGTAAGGCTGACAAGTGTGACTTTTTTACTCTCCGATCTTCAGACAAGCTTTATTTATTAAAATACAAATGAAATATCACTACATTTCCTCTTTTTGTCTAAAACAAAAAGAAGGCTATAACTAATATAAGAAAACTATATATAATAAGTATAATAACTATATACAATATATAGGTAATAAACATATCAACAATGTCTAGTCCATTTGCATTTGACAAAGTCAAAGAAAATATTACATCTCTTTCCAATCTTGGTGAGTTCAAAGACTTGGACCTAATTTACTTTCTATCATAACTTGCATTGCTATCCAAAACTATTTTTGATATCTCTCAACCTTATGTACTTTACATTTATTAAGTAAAATTCTTTTCTGAGTCTTGTAAACAGTGAAAACTGTAACTATAAATATCTAGTCTTCAACTACCTCAGAGAGTCATGAAGGAAATAATATTAATTGAGTAAGTGAGAAGTGTGAGCAAATGACTTCTGAAAATTGTGAGAAATGACAGAAGAAACTGATTGACTGGACACTCACCTAAAGTTTACCCATAATACTGGGACATTTATTTTCACCCTACAGGCCTGGAACATCTGACAAACTCTTATATGCAGCAGGGTTTTTGAAGGAATGTCCTGCCTTGTCTTGGCAAGGTTTGGTAGTCACTCTCTTTTGTGTCCTGCTTGTCCCATTAGTATAGCATACTGCCAGACATCAAGGCAAGGACAGTTTCTCGCCCAGTGTTTCATTTTGCCACAAAGAAAGCAAACTCCATGTGGAGTTTCTTCAATGCCCATAATCTTTTCTGAATCAGATTGGTGCTGCCAGGAGCAGACATGTCTCATGGTCACAAAAAGAACCTATGTTATTAAAATATCTTAAATGCCATATTCTGTAGCTCTCTGAAGTATGTGAAGATGACCTGCCTATTTAAAATATATCTTTGTTTAACCTTAAAAACATAATGTGACTACAAATTCTATTTAATAGGTAACTAATCACTAACCTGCATTTCCTTATTATCCTAAATAGTTGGTAATAATACTTTCAAGGACTGGAAATTTGCAGTACATTGTTATATGAGCTGTATAGGTACAATACTTTGAAGAAGATTAGAAATGTATGTATAGTCTGTTTTAACAAAATTAATCTCAAATTTGTATTTATATACAAAACTTGTAAATATACAAGTCCAACCCAACATAAAGCATTTAAAACTAGTAGTTGCTTTTTAAAAGTAACTCAATAGTCTACATTTTTATCTTATCGTATCTATATCATCCCCTTTTTCTTTTCAAAGTAGATTCTACTCTTTTATCCTATCATATCTGTATCCCCATTTTTCTTTTCTAAACAAGGACTTTGAATCTAATCTTTGTTCAACTTTCCTCCAGACCATAACCAATAATAACTTGTAACCAACCCCTCTTAAACAATAACAAATATCCATAACCATTAAATGACCAAAAAAACCACTTACTTCACCTCTTGAGAATGTGGGCATCATATTCTTAAATTTACTTCCCAGTGTCTGGGGGTGGCAGTGTCTTTAGGGGATCCTGAAAAGAGAAATTTTTGGCTAATTGTCAAGTCCTGAGAGGGGTAGCTTTATTATTTGTTGTCAGTCTCTGTGAAATGGTGAAGTGCGGGGTTTGTCTTAAGTCCTGACTAGAGCAGTCTGTTATGCTGGATCATCTCAACTAACCACTTTGAAATTGTTCTGAGAAGTTTGTAGTCCAAAGCTGATTTTTAGGTGGTGCTTTTCAGCTTAATAGTGCTATCATAGTTCTGGAGGACTCATCATTGTGGGACCCCATCCTCTTTTTGGAGACTTCATTGTTAGGAGTTCTCATGGTTCACTGCAGGAAACTGATAGTCAAACCTGAAATCATGTACAGGAAGGTAGATGAAATCTTTTTTCTAGGATTAGTTAGTATTTTATATGACCATTAACATCATGATAAAAAAGTTTATATATAAATCTTATAAATCTGCTACCTTAAGAAAAGCTGTTAAAGGGTCAATATAAAATGAAATGATTATGAGATTAGTAGCAATAAGTTAGTCCTTAAATATTTGTTTTTCTTCTGTCCCATATCAGGTGGTTCTTCTGACATGAGACAGAGATTTTGGATTTCACTTTAATAAGCATGCTTGGGTACCTTAGACATCAGAGTCATCCAGCAATGGCTAATACCAGAGATACCTAGAAGTTGGTAGTT